TATTATTATTATTATTATTATTATTATTAAATCATTAGATAAAAACCCATCAGCTTGTTAAAAACTACCCATCTAACGTCATTGCGCACTTTTGAACACTTTATTTTGAAAGTCTGGACAGGAAGCTTTGTCCTGTAAACACCGGAAGCTTCACGGCGGACTCATCTGACAGCTGGGTCAGACAGGAGTTCTTCGGTCCTGCGCGGGCTGTGTTCCGCTGCTCAGGTTTTCGAGCCGAAGCGGGTGACAGAACCGGACCGGACCAAACCACCTCCCCGCATCGCCCCGGTCCGGTTCGGCCACAATGGACGAGCAGGCGGGCCCCGGGGTGTTCTTCAACAGTAACAACAACAACTCCGGTTCGGCCGCCGGCGCTGCGCAGCCCGGAGAGTTCGGAGAGGCGGCCCGGGCTCAGTACAGCGTCCCGGGGATCCTACACTTCCTCCAGCACGAGTGGGTCCGGTTCGAGGTGGAGCGGGCTCAGTGGGAGGTGGAGCGGGCCGAGCTGCAGGTGAGCGGCGGAGTTCGGTTCGGTTTGGTTCGGTTCGGTTTCTCCTGGTGTTCTCTGGCTAACAGAACTAGCAGCAGCAGCTGATGCTTCGGTGGTTCCGGTCTGCGCGTGATGTGAGCATCCAGGTGAACCGGCGTGGTGACGTCACTTAACCTGTGTGGGCTTTCCCGTTAACACAGGTCCATTATCGGACACTTAGTAAGCCTGGTTACATGTCCGATAATGGACTCAGGGCTTTGTTCTTGCTCAGGTTCTCCGAGATTTCCACCGCATAGTCTGGACCTTCAGAACCACAGCTACCAGGTTCAGGTCCAAGGGTCTGGACCTTCAGAACCACAGCTACCAGGTTCAGGTCCAAGGGTCTGGACCTTCAGAACCACAGCTACCAGGTTCAGGTCCAAGTTTCTGGACCTTCAGAACCACAGCTACCAGGTTCAGGTCCAAGAGTTCTGGACCTTCAGAACCACAGCTACCCGGTTCAGGTCCAAGAGTCTGGACCTTCAGAACCACAGCTACCCGGTTCAGGTCCAAGAGTCTGGACCTTCAGAACCACAGC